GAGGATGAGGCCTATTCCTCAAAAGTATCATTGAAAAGGTGTGAGCACACTACATGGAATGGTTGAAAAACTATGGTTGGTTATTTGTTGTGTAACTGGAGCTTAGAGTTTGAATTGAGAATGCCAAGAAGAAAGCATGGAGAGGTCAGTAAAGACCATATCTTGAAAAATGTTTAAAACCTTTTATGTTTAGATATCATTAGTGCTATGGTCTGAATGTTTGTGTCCCCCAAAAATTCATATTTGAAATCTGAACTCCCAAGGTGAGGGTATTAGGAGGGTGGAGTTTTGGGGAGGTGATTTGGTCATGGGGGCAGAGCCCTAATGAATTAGTGCCCTTATAAAAGAAGCCTGAGAAAAATTCCTCACCCTCTCCTCATGTGAGGTTACAGTGAGAAGACAGCTGCTTATAAGCAGGCCCTCACTAGACACTAAATCTGCTGGCATCTTGACCTTGTACTTCCCAGCCTCCAGAACTATGAGAAATAAATTTCTGTCGTTTATGAGCCTCCCAGTTAAATGATATTTTGTTATAGCAGCCCAAATGGACCAAGACAATCAGGAATGGCCAAAGGCCATTATTTCAAGTTAGGTGGGTATTTTGATATGGTTTGTGTTTTATGATAACCTCTGTGGCTGCAGGGAGGAGACGGACTATGTAGACAGGAGAGGCAAGGTCAGATACGAGGTGAGTCTGAACTAAGGCAGTGGTGGTAAAGTTCAAGCTTCTAATTTATCCCAAGTGCTTTTCCTCCCTCTCCAAGTCTGATTCTTTATGTTTTTATAATACACTTTGCATACTTCTGTTAAAACAACATTCTATAGTGTATAAATGCTGATTTATGCCTCTGTTCCTGTTATTTGACACCATAGCTTTATGAGGGTAAGGATTTCATCTTGTTTAGCTTTGCATTCCCATCATCTAATACATATAAGAGTTTAAGTTCTCAGCAAGTGAGCAAACAAATGTGAGGTTATATGGATAAACAAGCAATAAACTATAAAAAAGGATAAAACATGGGAAGTGCTATAGTAGATACAAAGAAGGTCAGGACAAGTCAAGATCATTTCAGAGGTGATAGAAGACTTGCTTCATTGAGGTGCTAGACATGATTTTGAAAGATGAGTAAAACGTAATCATATAGAATTAGAAGGATGTACCACTCAGGGGAAACAATCATATAAACTAAAGTACAGAGAATGGTTGGGATATGGCAATAGGTAAACAAAGGAAACTAACTAGAGAAGAAGCTCTAAGGCTTATGTTCTGCCAGGTTATAGAGGATAGGCTAAGTGTTTAGACTTGAGTCAATAAGTAGTAGAGAAGCCCAGAGGCAATCTAATAGTGTTCACTCTGTCAAAGGAAATCATTTGTAAATGATTTTACAAAGTAAATCAAAATAAAAATATGCCAGGTATAGTCTAAATAAGTTGCAAAGTTCCTATGTCAAGCAAATAATCATGCTTCTAAGTGTTCTGCTCTTTACTGAGCCAAGACAACTGACTCTTATAAAAATAAAAATAGTACACTTTTGAAAGGACTTATGAAATATGAAAATATATAGAAAATTTCTGATTTTATGTCTTCCACTGACTTCTCTCTTCCTTAATGATATGAAAAACAAAGTAAGCAAAAAACCTCAAAGAGCTAATTCTTCAAAATTTTGTGTAGTGATTTCCTTTCCTCCTTGACCCTTTGTACTATAGATTTACTTTGAGGATACCAAATTGCTCTATCTTGATCTATTTTCAATTATTCAAAAGTTAAAGTTTGAAAGTAGAAAAATTAATTTCAGTAAATAGACCTTTTCTGAGAAGGATTTTTTGTGCATTTATTATAGGTAGAAAGCCAACGGTGTCCTTACAGCCCAGATAACTTAGGCATACTGAAGACTTCATCTTATATTGAGTCATTAGATAAAAGATATTCTTGTATATCCCCAGGAGGGAATTATGTAGAGAGAAGAGTACAGGAAATTGTGAGAACTTGGAACAGAGGGTTTTATAAGTATAAGAGCAAAATACAGGAGCCACTGTGGTTTATGCAGACGCTTGTTTTTCTGATGGCCAGCTTTTTTCTACCAGTTACAATTACCCACACCCCTCTGTGTTTGGGGTCCTGTACTTCTCTTAATTTTGATCTTTTCCTCCTGTGAGCTTTTCATAGGCCTGAAAAAAACTTTCTCCTTTTCTTTTTAAGGTTCTTCAGGAGTTTTTGCAAGCTTTTACTGGGCTCTAAAAGGGAGGAAATAAGGATTTTTGTCTGTCTTTTATAAGCTTCATCTTCCTACAGATTCCATGGTCTCAGCTAACTAGGATGGGATATTTCTAGATTTTCCTTTAGATGATTTGGAACACTGATGGTCCCAAAAGCCATTAAAGGGAAAGAAACTGTAGCTTGAGGTTATATATAGTATATTATAAATTTTGTAGCATGTAAACCATGTAATGATTGAAGGGACAGATCTCTCCCTTGCACTTAAAAGAGCTTGTGTCAGTGTTGCCTAGAGATGAAAATAGTACACAAAGAAAAAATGATTTGTGTTTGTTTTTTAAGAGTTGAGGAGGGTTAATGTAGAGCTAGTTTGAAAGGCAAGCAAATTGATAGCTAGACAGACTCAACTCTACATTCCCTACTTGAAACCACATTAGCCTTCCCGAAGTGAAAATTGATCAAGAGTAGAAGTTTGGCATGGGCAGTAGGGAGGTACTAGTACTTCATCACAGTTACTTTGAAAAGTGCTAACCTAGAGCAACATGAAACTGGACAACAGTAGAAGTAGCTACAGGACAAGGGCTGAGCATACACATGGTAAAACCTCTTGATGCCTTTACTATTTCCAATTAGGGGTTATTATGACTATAAAACATCTATGAACATTTTTATACACATCTTTTGATAGTCATACACTGATATTTTTGGGTTGTAAACTTAGAAGTAGAATTACCAAGTCTTTAGGGTAGATGTATGTTTAGCTTTAGAAGAAACTCAGTTTTCCAAAGTGGTTGCAGCATTTTACATTCCCATAGACAATGTATGAGAGTTCCAGTTGCTACTTGTCCTCACCAACACTTGGTGTTGTCCGTGTTTTTAATTTTATCCTTTTTTGGGCAGTGTATAGTTGTAAATCACTGTGGTTTTAATTTGCATTGCCGTGAGGAGTAATGATGTTGAGCACATTTTCCCTTGTATAGTCACCATTTGAATGTATCTTTTATGAAGTGCCATGTAAGAGTTGTCCCCCATTTTTGAATTGGATTTTTTCATTTTTGATTTGTAGAAGTTCCTTCCATATTCTAGGTATGAGTCCTTTGTTGGATGTATGTATTAAAGATATCTTTTTCCAGTCTGTGTCTTATCTTTTCACTTTCTTATGGTGTCTTTTGATGAACAGGAGTTTTGATTTTGATAAAGTTCTATTTTTTTATTTTATAGATAGTGTTTTTTGTGTCCTGTTTAAGAAATCTTTGCTTATTGCAAGATTTTAAAGATCTTTTCCTATATTTTCATCCAGAAGTGTTGTCCTTTATCTTTCACATTTAAGTTTATGATTTATCTGGAATTTTTGTGGAAGATTTGAGGTAAGTGGTTAAGGTTTATTTTTTTCCTATAGAAATATTTAGTTATAGCATCATTTATTGAAAAGACCACCTCTTCCTTCATTATACTGATGTCTTCATTGTAAACGCTTTATATATATGGATCTAATTCTAGACTCCCTCTTCCATTACAATGATGTATTTGTCTGTCCTTATGCCAGTACTGCACTGTCTTACTGTATTCATATGGAAAGTCTAAAATCTGATTTATTCATTTTTGAGATGTTTTGGAAACTATGATAAGCTATATTTGTGGGGGTATAGCCATCTACTATAAAGTGAAATATTCATATATTTAGTATTTAATTGCAAATGAATTAAACTTAGAACAAACTAGTTTATAGTACCTTGTAGAGAGATTCTATGGCCATACCACCCTGAATGCACCCAGTCTCTTCTGATCTCAAAAGCTAGGCAGGGTCGAGCCTGGTTAGTACTTGGATGGGAGATAATTAACCTGTTTTTTAGTTTATAATAGGATAGTGTTAGCATTGCAGAACCTTTGCTTTTAAAGTTGCTTACACTTTGTGCTAACCTAAGATTAGAAATGCACTGGTATTCTCTCTCAAAGTTATAAATAGATCACAAAGGTATTTTTTTTCTGTGCAAGGAGCTATATCATGGGGAAGAGACTTGATAAGCTGGTTAAGCCACCATGATAGGCATAGTCTGTCTGCTTTGTTCCAACATTCTCTTTGTAGTAATCTACTCTTTTAGTCTCATACCTAGATCCTCTAGTGGTCAGTAAACATCCATATTGTTTTTAGAATTTCAACATTGTAAGCATTTTATCAGAGTCACAGCAGGAAACAGAAGCCATACTCTGGTGGGATCTTAAAGGAAATTTAATGAAGCTCCTATTTACAGATAGATAAGGACAGAGACACCAACGTGGCACTGGGAGACTAGCAACAGCAGAAAACAGTTACCACTTCTAGGGGTGAAGTGGCAAGGAGAAGAAATGATCATGAATATATTTAGAATTAACATAAAACTATATTTCTTCCCTTATAACCTATCATTTGTTAAATATTTAAATATCACATAATAGGACCATCCTGTATAAGTAACATTGCAGTTGATAGCAATGAGAGATTTTAAGTAAACTTTTTTGAAGTGTACTTGTTCATTTCCTTTTTTTCCCAGTATGTGGAAAATTTTCAGCATTTATTATCACATGGAAAGAGACAAGATAATTTTTCATGCTGCATCTCAAAAATAGCATTTGAATATTTTAGTTCATATACATCACTGTTCCTTTCCTGTACTGCAATTATCTCCCTCACAAATAATATTTTGGGAATGCTCAATTCACATGTAAAAATAAATATGACAGAGCCTGAACTGAAATAGCAACTGAATTAGCTTATAATTTATTTCTTAAAATAACTTTTACTTAGGTTCATGATGGTCCGTAGTGGAAAAAATGGTGACCTTCATCTTAAACAGATTGCATATTATAAACGAACTGGTGAATATCATCCAACAACACTGCCAAGTGAGAGAAGTGGCATACGAAGAGCAGCAAAAAAATTTGTCTTCAAAGGTAAAATTAGTGTCCAGAATCTTATATATAGTATTATAGATTCTTCTACACATGTGTTCTTTGTGGAATCCTGAGAGTTTCTATGGCAGTTGGTTGTTGCCAAACTATTACCAGTTGAATTGATGATGCCACTCAATCAAAAGCAAAATAAAATTCACACTGAAGCTAACTGAAGGCCAGTTAGCATGAAAGGGTAGTTTAAATTATATGCAGAAAATGATACTGTGGGAGAAAACAGAAACATTTATCTGAATTAACAGCTTCTACTTTTGCCCTCTGGTACACCTACTCTAATGGTGCACTTTTAAGCACTAATACCATAGTCAGTGAGGAACTTATTTGAGGCTTAATATGAAAATGTTGACAAAGTTAACTAGTTTGTTTACTAAAATGAAAAAGGGAAGGAATTAGCTATTTTTATTTATATGATTTCCCCGCTCTTACTGCCATTTAAATATTCTTAGGATTACATTTATTTTAGGCCCTTGAGTGGATTAAATATTTGAAAGGCAGTGGGACATTTATCCTAAAAGGTCATAATAATTTTTCCCTCTTTTCCTGCCTCCTTCAAAGGGAAAGAGAAGTTTGGGTTGAGATAAGCAGAAAGTACAATCACCAGATAATTAAATGAATATTGGTACTATTAATGGGAGCTTTGCAGGTTGGTATAGCATTAGGCTTTCTCCAAAACAGGCCAAGAAAATTCTAAGGTAATAAATAAATAACTGCTCCTGTCTCCCTGTGTACAACCCTACCAATAATAGGCAGATCCATTACCTCTTAGACTAACATTAGAATTCATTCATTCATTTACTTAACAATTTGTGTAATAAGTGTGTACTGAGTTTCTATGTGCCAGTCACATTTTAGGCCTTGGAGAAATATTGATGAATAAAATAGATAAGCTTCCTGCCCTCAGGTTACTTACCTTCTAATTTAAGTAAAGAATGTTCCACTCAGCATGTGCTTAAGCACATTAGTAGCTTAATGGTGTATTCTGGAGTTTGAATAGTTACCCTCTACTGGAGAGTTAGGTGGTGGTTCTCTGCATCCTCTAGTTGCTTCCCAGCTGCAGATTCTTCTCAGGTGTCCTTGTAAGGAAAAGAGTATTGTCGTGTGGTTTAAGGTTCTCCTACTTAATCAGCCCTACTTTCCACTCAAATCTAGAAAAACATGAAAAAGGTGGTTGCTTACAAAAATGCAGTTATGATAAAATGCTATTTTAGAAAATTCTGTTCTAGGAAATTGCTTATCTGTACATAATTTATTTGCTAATTTATACCATTTTAGGAGGCACTTGCAGGTATTTTCTTAGTTTGAGTACTTCCGTAGAAAGTTAACTTTATGCTTCCATACTTATTATATGCTTTGATAAACAAGCTAGCTCTACTTATATATTGATAGCTACAAAATTATAGCAGCTAGTGCTTCTTCTAGATAGTGTAACAGCTGAGGACCTTTCCAATTGTATGGTAGCACCATAACAAATAAATACTCTGTTTTAAGTAGAGTAACGTTTAATAAAACGCCTCATGGTTTAAAGTTAAGGCTATGATTATATTAAAACTCTATAGGTAATTTCTAAAAACTGCACTTCTATTTTTTTGACATCACTTATTCCAGAAAAAAAGCTGTTTTATGTTGGAAAAGACAGAAAACAAAATCGTTTGGTAATTGTTTCAGAAGAGGAAAAAAAGAAAGTCCTTAGAGAATGCCATGAAAATGACACTGGAGCTCATCATGGCATATCCAGAACCCTCACGCTGGTGGAATCCAATTACTATTGGACTTCTGTGACCAATGATGTCAAACAGTGGGTATGGCTTATGTATTTAGAATATTTTTAATAATGTCTTAATGCCCCCAGTTTACTCTGGGTATTACCTCTCATTAAGTACTTTTTGTATGGTAGTTTTTGTGAAAAAACAATTAAAGGGGTTTTTATTTCCTTTGATTCTTTTAAATCACTAAACTATAATTTGAGCAACAAAAAAGCATTACTTGAATATTTGAACATACCATATTTAGATAGGAGATTACTTAGAACCAGATTTTTATTATTGAACTCCTTTGTGCAGGCAGAATTTAAATGGGGCTAGAATTTGTTTGACTAAATCATTACCTCTTTAATGGCAGTGATAAAAAGTTTTCTTTGAGGGGACGGTATGTTCATAATAAGTTTGGCCCACTGTGTGCTCTCATCTTTTGTCCTGTCCCATCTTGATGTAGAAATGTCAAGCATGGCGGAAACCCAAAACCAAATAAATGCAAAATCAAATTGTGAAGGTAATAAGTCTGAGTTTTGTAATTTTATAACCTATTAAGAACCTCAACTTCTTCTAATAGATAGTTCACCTATAGGAATTTTAGGGTTCTTGCTGGTAGGTCAAGTGATCCTACTCTTTCTAGTGTACTATATGCCAAATGGTAAGCATTCCTTGGTATAGATGTGAGATCTCTTTAATAATTATAATAGTGCATCAAGAAGACTAGGATTTCAGGAATAAAGAATTAAACCAACATTTAATTATCACTTATGAGTTATCAGTTTATGAGGATATGCAGATATTCCAAAGACAAATATAAATTTATATTTGCCTTCAGAACCTGCCATACATTTCTTTACAAATATTCAGTGAAATCTTTGTCAAATCTTTATCATTTGAGAATGGATATGATTTGGGGAATTAATCAAGAGTTATTTGTGGCAAAATTTAGTAAATAAGTTTATGTTTGAAAATTTTTATTAAAAATAACTGTGACTATAATATAATAAAAAGATTTTTTAAATTTTTCTCCAGAAGTTAGTTTGAAAGAAGTTTCCAAAGTGGAATTCCAGACATATATTGAGCAATGATACCATCCATAAATAGGTCAACTGATATCTTCTCACTTCAGTCAAATGAAAGCTTCATGACAACATAGACTTTGTTTTTGTTTACTCTTTTTTCCCATGACCTAGAGAAATTTATGGCATCTATAAATATTGTATGTATGAAATTATATTTCAATAAATACTGTTGGAATCAGTGAATGAACTTCTTAGAGTAGTAACTTTAGAAGGAAACATCTTTTGCATATAGAAATTACTATATATTTATATATTGATTTAAATTATAAAGAACATTTTAGGATCTATTTAAATATTTAATAAATGTTTATTGAATGTGAACCAGAATTGTGTTCCATCTCAATAAGACCCCATAAGATGGTCATTTAATAGTATAGTGGTCCCTTGGTATATACAGGGAGATTGGTGCCAGCATCTCCCACATTGCATATTACCAAATCTGTGCATAATCAAGTCACATAGTTGGCCTTGTGGAACCCATGGTTATGAAAAGTCAGCCCTTAGTATATGCAAGTTTCACACCTTACCCTGCCCTGTATTTTCAATATGTGTGTGGTTGAAAAAAAGCCATGTATAAGTGGACATATGCAGTTCAAACCTGTGTTGTTCAAGGGTCAACTGTAGTAGCAACTATTAAATTTGCTTGTTGTTCTGAATAGAAAGTTTAATACAGTGCTCAAGTTCTTAGTCCAAAGTTTCTCTTTCAAGACACAAACTACCTGTTAACCATTTTAAAATTCAGATTCCTAAGACTTCTTTTGTACTATGTTGAATATATTAACATCTGTGTGTATTTTCTTTATCGTATGCCTGTTTGTAGGTGTATGCTTGCCAGCATTGCCAAGTGGCAAAAAATACAGTTATTCTAGCACCTAAACAGCATATTCTCAAGGTGGAAAATCCATGGAGTATAGTTACTGTTGATCTGATGGGACCTTTTCATACAAGCAACAAAAGTCATGTATATGCTATAATCATGACAGATTTGTTCACAAAATGGGTTATGATTTTGCCTCTGTGTGATGTTTCAGCATCAGAGATTTCTAAAGCTATTATCAATATATTTTTCTTATATGGACCTCCTCAGAAAATAATAATGGACCAAAGAGATGAATTCATTCAACAGGTAAGACAAACTACTTAGGTATGGGAGCATGTCTTATTCCCTTTCATTGTCCAGCACACAATGCCATTTGTGTTATATTACAGAGTGCTTAATAAATTCAGATAAATTGCTACAGGTATAGAGGTATGATATTGTATGCTACAGGGGTCATTGGATTGGAAATTAGTACATCAGGAATTTAGTACTTATAGAGCCACTAAGTAATTGTAAACCTATCTTCAGGTTTCTTCAAACTAAAATGAAAAGAGTGTACCAAATAATATTTGTTTACTTGTAGCATAAAAATCCTATTGTTGACAGGTAAAGGGAGATTTGAGGAAATGGAAAAATACATCATGTTTCAATATTGAAACTTTTTTTTCCCATTGCCCTGGACTTTTTTCTGATTAACATTAACCTGAAAAAATAAGTAGACAAAAATACATATGAAAATTTAAAAAATTATATAACTACTAGACTTAACGCATATTTCAAAATTTTTATAATTGACAAGGTACTCATATAAAAAAAAATCAGAGATAGCCAGACTTTCTTGGTTCAAAACACCTTTGATGGCTCAGTTCAAAAGAAATACCTAAAGTTATATTTATTAATCAGTTAGGACCGGTGTGAGGGGTCCTTAAGATTATTCTCAGGTTCCATGATTCGTCAGGAGGACTCCGTGTATAGAAATACTCTTGGCTAAGATTTATTCAGTGAAATGATACAAAGCAAAATCAGCAAAGAGAAAAGGCTTATTGGGAAAAAACTAAGGGAAACCAGGTACAAGCTTCCATGATCTCCTTTCCCAGTGAAGTTACACAGGACATGTTTAATTCTCACAGCAGTGAGTTGTGACAATACATGAAATGTTGTCTACCAGGAAAGCTCATTAGAGGCTCAGTGCCTAGGGTTTTTATTGGAGGCTGGATATTTAAGCACTGTCCGCCTGGCATGTACCAAAATTCCAGACTCTGTGAAGGAAAGAAGGTGTTTGGCTTTCTAACCAAAACCTACATTCCTAGACACTAGCCAAAGGCCAACTTTGTAAGCCAGCCTGTCAAAGAATATAGCAGTCTCAAATCTGCTTTGTTAATCTGCTAGAGTTAAATGAACTCTTTTCTGCACAGGTTCATTCAACTTTAGTAAGTATTTATGTCCTGACCACTTGGTAGCCATTTAAAAAATAATACTCATAAATTGAAAGAAAAAATATTTTTATTTCATTCTTAAACACAATTATTTGCTAATGGAGTGTGTGTACCTTTGACCACTGCCTAACATTTCAAGCCTTAGAATTATATTGTATACTGCCATCCTCATTTCCTGTTTGACATTAGTTTTTACAGAGTAATTGATTTTTATCACAGCATCTCCTGAAAAAAGAAAAAACAGTTCTATAAAGATATGATTTCATTGAAAGGATTGTAATCTGATCCAGTGTTGAAACTGAACTATCTTAAGCTAGTAGTTTTCGTGGTGTCTGATTGGTATTAAGAGAGCAACTTGACACAGAGTTTGTTAACAGTGATTAAAATGAAAAAACTGGCATCACAAATGAGTAGGGTAGGATTATAGAATAAATTTAATTAACAGGTAATAATTTTCAAATTGTTGTTATTTCTATAGTATGATTTTAGAATTTAATACCACATACTGAAATTATTTTTAGGTAAACTAAGGAATTTTTATTTTTTTAATTGAAAGAGAAAAGCTAGATATTAGACTTGTAAAAAAATCTCTAGGAGGCCGAGCGCAGTGGCTCACACCTGTAATCCTAGCACTCTGGGAGGCCGAGGTGGGAGGATTGCTCGAGGTCAGGAGTTCGAAACCAGCCTGAGCAAGAGCAAGACCCCATCTCTACTATAAATAGAATGAAATTAATTGGCCAACTAATATATATAGAAAAAATTAGCCAGGCATGGTGGCGCATGCCTGTAGTCGCAGCTACTCGGGAGGCTGAGGCAGGAGGATTGCTTGAGCCCAGGAGTTTGAGGAGGTTGTGAGCTAGGCTGCGAGACTCTCTCAAAAAAAAAAAAAAAATCTCTAGAGGATGGAGGTCACATGCTCAGATTAGGAACAGTGCTAGGAAATTGGACATCAACATTAAAAATTATCAAGAATATTCTTTGAAATATTAATTTACTTCCATTTATATTAATGAAGAGTCTTACCTTAAGTGCATATAGTGCTTCAAGACATTAGCTAATGATAGTTTTTCTAGGCATGTTTAAAGTCATGTGATAACCAATTCAAGACTTTGAAAATTTTACTAAAAGTAACAATAAGTGTTTATAAGCTCTTTTACGAGATTTCTTAATAACAAAAAAAAAGTCACATATGACTGGGAAAACTTGTTCTTTTTGCTGTGAGTGAAATAAATGGCTTAAATATTACACAAAGCATAATGGTGACAAAATCAAATATATGCATTTGTCAAGAAGTACACAGAGAACACTGCTAAAGATTAGAGCATAATATACAATGTGAAAGGTTTATCATACAGTTGGATAAAAATACAGATATTTCTAACATAGCTTAGAGTATTGGCTAATTTGTTTCAGTAAAGTGCACAAAGGCCTTTTTGTAATCCTCTGAAGGAAAGAAAAGAAACATATTCTGTGGGAAAATTACTTTTAAAAGATGTCTTATGGAAACATTTTGAAACAAAGAAGTTGAAGTCTTTTCCAAGGGTTATTTAAAATCATTGATCAGCAGTTCATATTGAAGCTGACCCAAATGACCTTTTCTCCAGGATTTCTTTCTAATTCCTTTTGAATTAATGATAGGCAGCCTGAATTTGTGTGTGTGTGTGTGTTCATCAGCTAGGAATTGTACTCAGCTACAAGTAACACAAGTCCTCTCCCTCCCCCAATATATAAACTCCAATTGGAATTTTTATGTTCTACTCAAGAAAAGCAAGCCAGGTTGTCCAAAGCTGGAAGGGTAGCTATAAATGTCGTTGGGAATCTATGCTCCTAGCTTTCTGTTCCACTGTCTTTGTGATGTGACTCAATCTTGTGCCCAACTGTATAGCTGCTAGCGCCCATGCCACAATGTATACATTTCAGTCAGAAAGAAGGGGAAGAGCAATGAGCAAACAAAGCTAGTACCAGCTAAGTATGTCCAACAACTTTCGTTTACTTTTTTTTTTTTTTGGCCAAAACTGCACATGACCACCCTTACGTCCAAGGGAGCTTGGGAAATGTAGTTTTGTTTCTTATTTTCTCTCATATTACCTTCACCTGTTTTGTTATTCTGATATTACTTGTCCTAATATTCTTTTAAAAGACAAATTTATCAGCCAAAAGTGTACTACTCTATTAAAAATAATAAGAAAAAAACTGCAGGTTGCGGTAGGAAAAATACATTTCACAGGCTTTCTATTAGAAGCTTTCTTAACTCATTTTGACTTCTTTTAGGTCCTGCATATTATAAGATATAAGAACAACAATAATACTAGCAGTTAAAAGTTATAAAACACTACTTGCCAAGAATTGTTTTAAGTGCTTTGTAAACACTAACTCATTAATCCTCAGAAGAGTCCTGGGTAGGATTTTCTTTATTTTGCAGATGAGGAAAAACTGTGAGTACAGAGAGGTTCAGTGATTTGGCCAACGTCACACAACTGTAACTGGATTATGTGATCTAGTGTTTATTTGGAAGACTATCTACTAAGTTAAAAAGTTATTTGAACTCAGAGTTAGTGTTAAATTCTGTTCTTCCATTTCCTTGTATGTATGTATTTGGCAAGGCACTTCATCTTACCTTTAAAATGATAGGGATTGCATTAATTCTGTAGATCACTTTAGGTAGTATGGACATTTTCTGCAATTTCTTTTCTCAGTGTTTCGTAGTTCTCCCTATATACGTCTCTCACCTCCTTTGTGAAATATATTCCTAAATGTTTAATTTTCTTTAATAATACCTCATAAAAGTGTTGTAAGGCCTAATGACAATAATGTAAAGTATACAGTGTGTTGACCAACACATAGTAAGGACTCAATAAATTATAACTACTATTTTATTTATTTATTTATTTTTATTTTTATTTTTTTTTTGAGACAGAGTCTCGCTTGTTGACCAGCCTAGAGTGAGTGCCGTGGCGTCAGCCTAGCTCACAGCAACCTCAAACTCCTGGGCTCAAGCAATCCTTCTGCCTCAGCCTCCCGAGTAGCTGGGACTACAGGCATGCGCCACCATGCCCGGCTAATTTTCTATATATATTAGTTGGCCAATTAATTTCTTTCTATTTATAGTAGAGACGGGGTCTTGCAGGATTCCAATTCTTGTGAGGCCTTTTTTTAATCAGTGGAAAAATACAATGCAAGTTATAAAAAGCTAGCTTTATTTTATATTTTTTTCAGATTAATGTTGAACTGTATGGATTGTTTGGCACAAAGCAAATTGTAGTTTCTCACACCTCTGGAACTGTTAAGCCAACTGAAAGTACACCTAGCACAGTCAAAACATTTCTCTCTAAACACTGTGCTGAATACCCAAACAATTGGGATGATCACCTATCAGCTGTTTCATTTGCCTTCAATGTAACTCACTTGGTATGTGCCTTTTACTAATTCTATCCTTCTGAGTTATGACTGTTTCTTGGCTAGATTACTGTCTTATTACAAAATTGCTGTTTTCTTTAAAATAGGAGCCTACTAAAAATACACCATATTTTCAAATGTTTCATCGAAATCCTTATATGGCTGAGACTTCAGATAGTCTTCATGAAGCTGATGGTGATAATACAAGTATGTTTACCAGAATTCTAGATGCAGTTAAAGAAGCTGATAAAATAATGGAAAGTAAGACAACTTCAGTGGGCCAGGTGATTCTATTTAACAGAAAAACTATAATCTAGAACTCTATAAAGTGATACTTATTTTTAAAGTTTCAGCATATACACATGTGTATGCATGCCACATGGTAGACCCTTACACCAAAATTTTTTATCTATCACATTTTGTTTTGATTATGTAATATGCTTATTAGCAATAAAATTCTGAGGCAACAATAAGAAAACCATTGATTTTGGAATCAAGTAGAGATGGATTCAGCTTGATAGTCTTGATGCTTATCCATAGTTTGACTTTAACAAATTACTTAACCTATGTTAGTTTGCCTTCTGTATATAGTAGGAGTAATAATACTGACTTTGAAATGTTGTTTTAAGAATTAAATGGGATTCATGCGTAACTTTTAGTAGCATTTCAGTAAATTACAATTATTTATAATATTATCATTATCTACATTTACCTTCAAGAAATTATAGCTCTTTCGTTCCTTTGTTTTTTTTTGTTTTTACACTTATAGGTGGAAAACAACAATTTGGATGAACTAAATAAAAGCAAGATCATTGTTAAAAAGAAACCAAAGCAATTAAATCCTTTTCATTTAAAAGTGGGTCATGAAGTTTTAAGACAAAGGAAAAATTGGTGGAAGGATGGTCGTTTCCAGTCTGAATGGGTTGGTCCTTGTGTCATAGACTATATTACAGAAAGTGGATGTGCTGTCCTGAGAGACAACACTGGGGCTAGACTTAAAAGACCTATCAAAATGTCCCACCTTAAGCCCTATGTAAGAGAATCCAGTGAACAAGGTAAGTATCTGTCACTTCTCTACACTTTTACTTTCATTGAATGAATAGAGAACTTAAAAATAACAGAAACTTTCTTCTCCTCTTTGGTCAGATTTTCCTTTCTCATTTTTATAAAATTTGGTATAGTTTTAGATAACCCAGGTAGTCTTTTTTTATTAGGTTTGTGAGAGATTTTTATTTTGATTTCTAGTGTGCTTTTTCATAGTTCACATGGGAAATACTGAACCTGTATCTACTAAAGGAAGGATTATATCTTTTCTATTTTTGCTTTCACAATGACCTTTTAGTCATTTTGTGCCTCATTTTAGCATGAAAGACAGCATCTAAGATCCCCTATCACTAATGCCAAAACCAAACATACTACCCAGAATCCAGTTGTGAGATAAATATATTAAGAAACTTAAAATATCATTAATTTTTGATGTTGCTTTATAGTTAGGTCATGGGTAGGGAATAGGGGAGGATACAGAGTAGTATATACTCAGAACGCTGTAAATTGCTTTAGAAGAACACTCTAGACAGGTTATACTTGCCCCAAAGTATGATTGGTTCTGACCGGTCAGGATCCTAATCTCTCTGCCCTTTCATAGGTTAGTTAAATGACATTTTTGCCATGGCTTTAAGTCCCCCACTCTATCAAGACTGTTTTATTTTATCCTAATGTATTTGCTCCCTAGAGCTTCCCTGAAGTGAATAACTAAGAGGGAGTTAATTGGTACCTCAGTTAATTATGCTTTTTCTATAAAAAACATGAAACATTAATCTTATCTGAATATGAATAACATTTAATGGAAGATAGTGTATTTTTAAACAGCACAATTAAGTTATTTAACAGGCTTTAGTAAATAACAACAAGACCAAAACAACAAATAACCTACAGTTACCCTGTACTTTTTTTAGATATGAAGCCCTTGGGGGTTGCTCAGTAATAATAGCTCAACTCTGCTTCTGATCTGGACCACATCTCCTGTGTTAAAAGCTCTTAGTGCCTTTCCTTTTTGTGACAGACCCAATTGCTCTTATCAGTAAACTTATCTTGTATTATGTTCTAATTCTGAAAACTCACAAGTACTTTCATTCTCTTTGTTAGAAGATAAATGCTTTCATTCCTTGTGCCTCTTCTTATTTCTGAGTTACCTTTAAAGATCCTTCCCTTCCACAAATTAAGTAGGAAAAAAGATTATACAAGTACATTCCTTAATTAATACAAAATTTACATTTAAAATGTTGATATACTAAGATATGTTTCAACATTTCAGTTTGCTCTTGCCAAAGACTTTCTTAGAAAGGAGATCAGATATTTTGCTTCTTTTATATAGTTCAGAACCCAATTGAAAAGGACAGTTTCTAAACAGAGGAAGTATAATTTTTTCCTCATGCTTGAATTCTCTGCAGAAGTTTTTTTCAGTAATATAAGGAAATTGCAGTATAACTAAAGGAAATATTCACTGAAGGAAGGATTATATCTTTTCTATTTTTGTTTTCTAAAATGAGGAACCTGAGATTGATCAGTGAATTTGTTTTAGTTTTCCTTGTTAACCAAAGGAAGTATGGATCTGGCCATCCGAGAATCTAGTTCTTGATTACTATTTGGTCCTTTATTGTGTTTCTCTCATTTGGATAAATTTAAAATAAGTGTGATTTCTGCCATCTTTTAGCTCAGTATCACATATTTTCCTGAAAATTGTCACCTAACAACCTGATTTTAAAGTGTCCTTGAGCTGAATTTATGGCAAACAAAGTGTCTTTGAATAATCATCCAACTTTTTTATTTGACACAAATTTGGATAAGCTGTATCCAACTATAAATGTATCTGTCAATACTTGTCATTGCTGCTCTTCACCAGCCCTGAGAATTCAGAACTATATTAAGGACTCACTATCTAAAGCAGATATACTTACGTTGCCAACTTCTTATTCATTCTTATCTAGAATACAATGTACAGAGAGCACATTCAGTACGAAGTCTACAATATTTGTTATTGCTATTTTAAGCAGGCCTATTTGTTATTTTGTGTAGTTCAATGCTAGGCACTTTTTCAGACCAGTTAGTTTAGTAGGAAATTTTAAGATATACCATAGTGTCTCTTTGTAATCATAATGTTCCCCCTTAAAAATAAAAATGATGTTATTGACCCATTATTTTATCCAACGTAAATTGTGAGTAGTTTTTAATTTATTTTGTTTTGATAGATGCGGGTCAGCCATACACAAAAGTTTTAGTCTGATTTCTCTTCCCAGTTGAAAGCCCACATTTGTGAAATGATTTGCATTATTGTATAAGTATCCTGTTGCTGCTATAAAAATTGCTAAAAACTTAATGGCTTAAAATAACACAAATTTATTATCTTATAGTTATCTAGGTTAGCAGTCCAAAATAGATCTTACTGGGCTAAAATGGCTAAAATCAAGTCATTGGCAGGGTTGTATTCCTATCCAGGTGATTTTTTAAATCTAATTTTTTAATCCTTAAAATTACATAAGGAAAAGTATAGCCAAACTGCTGTTAACACCATGTTGAAATGTCTTGAAAATACCCCAGTTTGAAAGAAACTCAAGACTCGCTATTTAGTTTGGTCAAAACTAAAATGATGCTTTCATCAAACAGATGTCATATCATAACTGAATTAATAGAATGAGAAAAGAAAAATACTTATCAAAGTCTTTTGTATAATGTAACTGAGTAGAAAAGTCCTTTAATGTGGTATGTTAGATATTCTCTCTCTTTCTGTCTCTCTCCTCCCCGACCCCCTCCTCCTGTGTTTTGAAGGCAAAAACTTCATGTTTTTTTTATATCCCTAACTCTGAATTGATCTAGATCGGTATTGTCCAATTGATAAGTATTACAAAACTATGTAATATGTAATTTTAAATTTTCTGGTAGCCACATTTTAAAAATACAAATAAATAGGTGAAAATGATTTTAATAATATATTTTCTATAACCTAATATATCCAAAATATTATTAGTTCAACATATATCTAAAGCCCTAAGAGTTTCTTTTCTGATAATCTTTATTGAAATTAAAGAGCATTTCTATTGGCTTCAGATTTAGACCATAATAGGAATTGAAACATATTTGACCTTTGTGAATGAATCAGAATTTTTTTTTTTCTGCACGAACGGGCCTTTGACAGCTTCAGAGTAGTTTTCCATTATGTGTAAAATAATTTGTGTGGAATTTGCCGAGTATAATCCTTGTTCACTATGGTTTGATTATAATAAGTTACTTTAAATGTTATCATTTATTTAAAAGAAAAATGTGTGTATATTTCTTATATTACTTACACATATAAGCTCTCCTTTTATAAGCAGGTGAGGTTGGTAAAGTACATTTGTTTCTAAGTCCAGTAACTAGGAGGTGCTTAAGTTCAAATATCTGAATCAATTTCCAGGAAGTCAAAGTGGACTTTTAAGAGCTATACATATAAGTATATTTTTCCCTTTTGGTATGTTTACAGGACATATTTTTCTAAAATAGACCTGCTTCATCTATATGGAAAAAAACTTTCCAACAAATAACCTACTTCATCACAGATCTCTGAAAGTGTCTTTGGAAATTCCTTAAACGCTGTGGTATCTGCTGTCACTAATGACTTTGCAGCAGTGTGTAGGCCTTAAACTATAGAATTCCCCATGGCTTATTATAAATTTCATCAGCAGCACTTTTACCATACCTGACATTTTTAAGTTCTCTTGTAAAGTACTACCTAGCCTTCTCCAGTATTAACAGTAGGCTAATAGCAAACTTTGATGTTAAACCTCTAGCAACACACTCTGACAGTGTTTTAATATCATTGATGATTTTCTCTTCCCTCTTGCTGCTATTGGGTATAACGTTTATCATGGATTGCATGATTTATTTTTTTGTCTTTCAGAATTATTCCTGTTGTCCAGCAATTCATTCCATACTAGCATACAGAAATTTTCTTATCACCTTCAGCTATTCATACTTTTATTCCGTTATAAATATGTGTATCTTCTTAATATCATTTCAATCTATTGCTGGTTTTGCATTATTAAGAATTGGTGAGGGTAAACTCTTTCACAGCTAAAATACCAAGCATACTTTGCCTAATGAAGGAGTAAATGGGCAAAACTAAATGGCCATAAAAGCCTAAGCCCACTTATGCCATCTTTTAATAGAGAGAATAGTTTTGTGTGATCTATTGAAGTTCACAAATTTAAAGTTGTTAAATAAATAAATTTCTGGGATTGAAATAGTCTCAATGAGCTATTCATATGTTAATATAATGAATAAAGTGGGATCATTTTCCAGGATATACTAGCAAATTTATGAGCTCTGAAAACTTTCGTTGCTGTCTAATCTAAATGGGCAATTTATCTTCCTTTTGCTTAAAAAACTTAAAGTTTGAGGATACCTTAAGCTATTAAAGTCTTCAAGAGAATCTGTCAGTGCTTTGGAAGAAAATCCAGAAAGAGAAGTCAGGGATCCAGGAAGTTAATCATCTGTGATGCAGAGTTCCTTGTTGTGATGAATTAAAATATCAGATGGGGGAAGAATCCTTTTTTGTACATTTACCTTCATATAAAAAGGTTTACCATCGGTTTAACATTCATTTTAAACTTTTTTTTTTCCTAATGGTGATAATAAATTTTCTCAAAATACTCAGAAGAAAAATTCCCTGTCAATACTTCATATTGATTAGTTAGACCTTAAAAAGTTTCTAAGCACACCTGTCTGTAATCCTAGCACTCTGAGAGGCTGAGGTAGGAGGATTTCTCAAGGTCAGGAGTTCGAAACCAGCCTGAGCAAGAGCGAGACCCCATATCTACTAAAAATAGAAAGAAATTAATTGGCCAATTAAAAATATATGGAAAAAATGAGCTGGGCCTGGTGGCACATGCTTGTAATCCCAGCTACTTGGGAGGCTGAGGCAGGAGGCAGCCTGAGCCCAGGAGTTTGAGGTTGCTGTGAGCTAGGCTTATGCCATGGCACTCTAGCCAAGGCAACAGGGTGAGACTCTGTCTAAAAAAAAAAAAAAAAAAAAGTTTCTGAAATTTTGGTATCAAATTAGCCTTTTAAATCTAAGCTTTTTAAAGCTACTCTATTACAGCCTGACTCTTTATACATTTCTATCATATAAACATTATTTAGCAACTATCTTCACTTTGTTTTTAACCTCATATTATAACAATTTGATGTTATCATCCTAATAAGGGCTCTTTAAAGATTGGAGAATCATCTAAAGTTGTAAATGTAAGAATTTAACAGTTCTATTCATTAAAATATCCTTCATAACCCCATTAATTCACCCAGAAATGCTTTGCAGAAACATATTAAGGATATCATCATCATCAAAAAGAAAGTTTTAAAATTTTGTTTTTATTTTATATCATAATTATCATTCCTTCTATCCCCTGTTCCCCACACCTGCATATCTACCAAAGATAGGTCAAAGAAACAAGAAAACTTGACTGTTCTAAAGTCTGTGATCTTTCTTATGTTCTTTGTATATGAACTACCAAATTTATATCCCATTTATTCATTCATTGACATGCATATTTATTTAGTAAATAGAACTCCCCAGAAGTTAATCTTGGTAGTTAATTTTTATTACCTAGGATTTTGTTCCTCATTTAAAATTGTTTAATTTTAAAATGGTGTCATTTATAATTCTAAAAATCAAACTTATGATATCTCTTCTTTCAGACAGTCTTTATCTGTTGCAAGGTTCAGTAGTGGCAGATCATGACTACATCGGATTGCCTGAAATTCCAGTCGGAGCATACCAAGCAAATATTCTAGTGGAAGATGCAACTATTGGTATAGTTGATAATGAATTACTGACATCAAGCAAAGATCGTGAACTATTAGAATATAGAAATGCCAAAATCTCTCCATTGATAGAAGATCATGGGACTCTTGAAAAACAGACTTTCAGTCTGTTGGACTCTTCAAACCAAGTTCTTGAGTACTTAAGTTAGTAAATACTAAAATTCATTTAAAGTACTTGTTTAGAATGTATAAACCCTTAAATCTTGATATATTATTCATTAAAAAAGTTATCTGGAACAAGTATCTTGACACATTCTTAACAAGTAAATCCTGAAGAGTTATTTTATAACTACTTATTTATCTAAACTTGTGCCACATTTGAATATCAGTATATGTATATATAAAGGCAAAGGAAGCCCATAATATATACAATACTTTTTCTTCTAGAAAGAGAACATTCAAAGTGCCCTTGCTTCTTAGGAAATAAATCCAGTTCAAAGCATTCAAATCTTTGTCTGGTATTGGTACCATGTTTTTTTGTTGTTGTTTTTTTTTTTTTTTTTTTACTTTCAAATTTTCTGGAATATCTACATTTAAAAAATGAACTCCCTAGAATGGGATTAATAAATATTGAACCAGCTGTAACAATGAATGAAATGAAATTATTTTCTGTATCATTGGAACTTCTAAAAACAATATTATAGCTAAAAAATTAGCATTATTTAATGGGCTTTCACAAGATATTGGTAATTTCAAATTATCTAATTTGTTAGGGTCAGAATTAGGGTCTGCAATTATATATTGGTTTGAATGCATTTGTTCATTTCCATATTATATATTAAAGCCTAAAGATCCATTAAGAAGATTTTTTTTCTGAAATCTTAAAAAAAATTAATGATAAAATACTATTAAGGATTCCTAAATTGAAATTTCTATAATATTCATAACTTCATTCAACATATATTTATTACAAAGCACTATGAGAAGCGCTGCAGGAAAATAAAAAGATGAGTCAGATGTGTACCTCATCTTCATAAGGGACTTACTATCTGATAAGAGTGTTGCAACACAAACAAGTACAGATAATGTACTTAGGGAGGCAAAAAAAGAGAAATCGCTTTTGGATAGGAAATGTAGGTTTATCCTTATAGTATAAGGATCATTTAAGCTTGACCTGAAGAATATGTAGGATTTAGTGAGTAAATACAAAAGAATTAGTGGAAAGGAAATGGCAGAGATAGAAAAGTATTGTAATGATTCACAGAAAGGCAGGACTTTTTGTTGTCTACACTACCTAGGATATAAAGTGAAGTAGCAAGATGGGGGGATAAAACTGAGAAGATAAGTAGGAAACCTTGGGGAGAGCTTTGAATACAATTAAGGATTGATATGTGCCCCTCTCAATATTCATATTGAATTCCTAACCCCCAGTACCTCAGAATGTGACCTTATTTGGAAATAGAGTTGTTGCAGGTGTAATTAGTTAAAATGAGGTCATGTTGTAATAGGCTGGGCTTTACTATGTCTGTGACTGGTGTCCTTATAGAAGGAGGAAGTTTGAACACAGACTCAGGGAGATTGCCATGTGAAGATGAAGGCAGAGATCGAGATGATGCTTCCACAAACCAAGAAATGGCAAAGATTGCCAGCAATCCACCAGAATTTAGGAGTGGCATAGAACAGATTCATCCCTACAGCCCTCAGAAGGAAGGAAGGAACCCCATCAATATCATCTCAGACTTCTGCATCCAGAACTGTAAAATAATAAATTCTGTTGTTTATAGCCACCCAATTTGTGGTAGTTTGTTATAATAGACCTAGCAAACTAATACAAATGACCAGCTAAATTATTTTCTGAGACCAAAAACCACTAAAAGTCTTTGTATAGGAAAGTGTCATGATCAGAACTATATTTTAGGAAGATTAATCTGGCAAGTAGTAAAGAATAGATTAAAGAAAGGGAGAAAAACATCATGGAGATTAATTGATAGGACTTTGCAATCATGATGAGTAGTATAATAAAAGCCGAAACTAGGCCTGTTGTAGCATTGTTAATGAATGGAGTCTAAAGATTATTACAGAATATTCCACATATTTTATCACAATCATACTGAACAGTGATATGTAATATTAAAAATGGAGACCTGAAGTATTATAATTACTTATTTACAAAGAAAGATTAAATTATAGTTAATATAGGCTGAAGAATAAATGATCAGGGAAGAAATCAATCTAGCACCTCTTCCTATGCCACATACCAAATAAATTCTAGATAGAATTCCAGAAAGAACCCTTAAGAAAGCATAGTTATATAAAACAATGATACCAATCCTGCTGTGCTCAGCAGAACAAAACAAAACAAAAGTTCATGAGGGAGTCATATTAGACCATCTCCTTGGTAAGTGGCTGTGTCACTTTTTTGTAGTGATCTTCTGACTTCAAAATTGGCCTCTTACCACCCCCCATTTTAAAAGGGCAGTCAATATTCAGAGTCATTTTAGAATTACATATTCTAAACATTTTAAAAACATTTTTCTTCTAAGTTATTTCTCATCAAATAGACTTTTATCCTTATATATAGTCATGTTAGGCTAGGTTATTCTGTGTCTGCAAACCTACCCCCAAATTTTAGTGGCTTAAAGCTTTATGTATTGGTCATCCCACATATCCCTGTTGGTTCATCAAGTGCTTGGCTCCGTTTTCATTATCACTCCAAGATATAGGGTGATGGTGCCCAACCTCTAGAATCATGTCATCATGGCAAGGGAAAGAGCACAGTGAAATAAGCACTGGATCTTGAAAGAATTACTGTAAAATACACATCTTTCTTACAATGATTAAACGTAGGCACACACTGTAAGTAGGTACAGGGTTTCTTTTTGTAGTAATGACAATGTTCTAAAATTAGTAGTGATGGTTTCATAACTCTGAATATACTTTAGTATACTTTAGCTACTGAAATGTACAATTTAAAAGGGTGCTCTAGGTAGGCCCCCATGGCTGAGGGTCTAAGTCTGCCCCAGTAGACCCCTACAGCAGGCTGGGCCCCTCAGTATCCCTCCAGGTGGCCTGCCTGAAACCTCTGGACAAGCAAACTTGTGAAGGTCTTTCCCTGCTGAAGTCAGTCTGTAAGGACTGGAAAAGGTGGCTACTTCTACAAATGTGTAGACAGCAACACAAGGCTGCAAGAATCATAGTAAAATATGATACCACCAGAGCAACAAAAAAAGCACTAGTAACTGACCCTAAAAATTGCCTGAGAAAGAATTCAAAGTGATTGTCTCAAAGAAGCTCCATGAGCTACAAAAGGACACAGATGATTAACAAAAATCAGGAAAAAAATACTTGAAGAAAATAAAATCATTAAAAAAAAATCAAATTCTAGAGTTGAAGAACACAGTAACTATACTGAAAAATTCAATAAAGAGGTTCAACAGCAGACTCTATCAAGTGAAATAAAGAATTAGTGAGCTCAAAGAGGGCATTTGGAATTAGCCAGTCAGAAGATCCAAAAAAAAGAAAAAAATGTGAAGAGAGCCTATGGTACTTATGAGATACCATCAAGTGAACCTAAATATGCATTATGGGAATCCTAGAGAAGCAGAGAAAGAGAAAAGGGAAGAAAGCTTATTTAAAGACATACTGACAGAAAACTTCCCATATCTGGAGAAGGAAATGAATATTCAGATCCATGAATCACAAAGAACCCCCTCTAGATTAAGGAAATCTTCACTAAAACTTAATCAAATTCTCAAAAGTCAAATACAAAGAATTTTAAAAGGGAGATACAAAATAACCTTTATAAGACTGTCAGCAGATATCTTAGCAGATACCTTGCAGACCAGGAGAGTGGGATGATATATTCAAGTTAAATACCCAGCAACCAAGACTATTGTACTCAGCAAGAAATGTAGGAGAGAAAAAGACTATTCCAGACAAAAGCTATGGGAATTCAGCACACTGAATTCTTAGAGTAGCTGAATGGATTTAGAAAACAACAAGCTCCAACGTATGATATCTACAAGGGACTTCAGATGAAGGGCACAAAGACTGAAAATGAAGGAATGGAAAAGATATTCCATGCAAATGGTAACAAAAGAGAGCAGGGTGGCTACACTCACATCACACAAAATCGACTTTAAGTCAAAATCTTTCACAAGGTACAAGGTAATTATATAATAATAAAGGATCATTGCATCAGGAGAATATTATAATTGTAAATATATATACAGCCAACATTGCATCATATAAATATAAAAAGCAAATAAAAAATTTGATGGGAGAAATAGCAATACAATAATAGTAGGAGACTTCAATAGCCCACTTTAAATAGTGCATAGATCATTCAGATAGAAAATCCATAAGGAAACTGCAGATGCCACTAGACCAAATGGACCTAGCAGACATATACAGAACATTTCATTTAACAGCAACAGAATGCATATTCTTTTCAAGTGGGCACAGAACAATCTCCAGGATAGATCATATATTAGGCCACAAAATAAATCTTAATTTAAGATTGAAATCATATCAAGTATCTTTTTCAACTACAATGATATGAAACTAGAAATAGAAAACAGGAGGAAAACTGGAAAATTTACATATCTGTGGAAATTAAATAACATATTCCTGAACTATCAATTGGTCAAAGAAGAAATCAAAAATGAAATAAAAAATTATCATTTTTTTTTTTGAGACAGTGTCTCGCTTTTGTTGCCCAGGCTAGAGTAAGTGCCGTGGCATCAGCCTAGCCCACAGCAACCTCAAACTCCTGGGCTCAAGCAATCCTTCTGCCTCAGCCTCCCGAGTAGCTGCGACTACAGGCATGCGCCACCATGCCTGGCTAATTTTTTCTATATATATTAGTTGGCCAATTAATTTCTTTCTATTTATAGTAGAGATGGGGTCTTGCTCTTGCTCAGGCTGGTTTCGAACTCCTGACCTTGAGCAATCCGCCGGTCTTGGTCTCCCAGAGTGCTAGGATTACAGGCGTGAGCCACCACGCCCGGCAAAAAATTATCTTGAGACAAACAAAAATGAAAACACAAAATAACCAAAACTTATGAAATTTGGCAAAAGTAGTTCAAAGAGAGTAGGTTATAGCAATGTTTAGTTAAAAGAAAATCTCAGCCTAACTTTACACCTGAAGGACTTTAAAAAAGAACTAAGCCCAAAGTTATTAATAGCAGAAGAAAGGAAATAATAAAGAACAGAGCAAACATAAATGAAATAGAGACTAGAAAAATAGAAAATATCAATGAAATGAAGAGTTGGTTTTTTGAAAAGATAAAATTGATAAGCTTTTAGCTGCAGTAAGAAGAGAAAAAGATTTAAAATACGAGTGTAAGAGGAGACAATACAACTGGTAACATAGAAATACAAAGGACCATAAGAGACTACTGTGAGTAATTATATGCCAACAAATTGCATAACCTAGTAGGAATGAATAAATTCCTAGAAAGGCACAATTTACCAAGACTGAATCATGAAATTAAAAATCTGAATGGACCAAAAATGAGCAAGGAGATTGAACCAGTAATCAAAAACCTCCTAGCAAAAGCCCCAGGACCTGAGGGTTTCGCTGGTGAATTCCACCAAACATTTAAAGAAGAATTAACACCAATCCTCAAACTCTTCAAATATTGAAGAGGAAGAAACACTTCTAAATTCATTTTACAAAGCCACTACTACCCTGCTACCAAATCCAGAAAAGGTATAATGCTAGAAAAGAAGATTATAGGCCAATATTTCTGATGAACATAGAAGCAAATACAACAAAATACTATAAAACTAAATTCAGTAATACATTAAAAGGATCATATACCAGAAACAAATGGGATTTATCCCTGGATGCAAGGATGTATTAACAGTATTATACCACAGTAACAGAATTATTATACCACATTAGCAGGATTAAAGGATAAAAATCATATAATCATTTTAATAGATGTAGAGAAAACATTGGACAAAATTAGACATCCTTTTATGATTAAAAAGAAAAAACCTTCAACAAATTAGATATAGAAATAATATACCTCAACATAATAAAGGCTATCTATGACAAGCCCAAAGCTAATATTGTACTCAATGGTGAAAAGCTGAAAGCTTTACAATCTGGAATAAGACAAAGGGGCCCACTCTTGCCACTACTGTTCAGTATAGTATAGTAAGCCCTCCATATCAATGGATTCTGCATCCATGGATTCAAACAATCATGGATTGAAAATATTTGAAAAAATAAAAAAAGTGATACAACAATTAAAAATACAAATAAAAAACAATACCATTAAAACTATTTAAATAGCACTTGCATTGTATTAGCTATTATAAGTAATCTAGAGATGATTTAAATTATATAGGAGGATATGCCTGGTTTGTTTGCAAATATTATGCCTCTTTATGTAAGGGACATGAGTGTCTACATGTTTTGGTATCCTTTAGAGGTCCTGGAATCAATCGCCTGCAGATACAGAGGGGCAACTATCCAGAGCAATTAGACAAGAAAAAGAAAAAGACATTCAAATCAGAAAAGAAGTAAAATTATCTCTGTTCGCAGATCTGTTCTCACATATAGAAAATCCTAAAGCCCCACCGAAAAGCTGTTAGGACTGTTAAATAAATTCAGTACAGATGTAGGATCAACATACAGAAATCAGTATCATTTCCATACACTAACAATGAACTATCTGAAAAAGAAATCAAGAAAGTACTATTTACAATAGTAAAAAAAAATACTTAGGTGAAATTTCTATATACTGAAATATATAAAACATTGCTGGAAGTAATTGAAGAAGATACAAATAAATGGAAAGATATCTCATGTTTATGGATTGGAAGAATTAATGTTGTTTAAATGTTCATACTGCTCAAAGTGATCTACAGATTCAATGAAATATTATCAAAAATCCAATGGCATTTTTTCACAGAAATATAAAAAGCAATCCTAAAATTTGTGTGGAACCACAAATGACTGAATAGCCTAATCAATCTTGAGCAAAAAGAACAAAGCTAGAGGCATCATACCACCTGAATTCAAAATATACTACAAGGCTATAATAATCAAACAGCATGATGCTGGCATAAAAACAGACACATAGACTAGTGGAATGGAATAGAGAACCAAGAAATAAATCTATGTTTTTATAGTCAATTAATCTTGGTCAAAGTTTGCAAGAACACATAATGGGAAAAGGACGGTTTCTTCAAAAAATGATGCTGGGAAAACTAGATATGCACATGCAAAAGAATGAAATTGGACCCTTATCTCACATCATATACAAAATTTAACTCAAAATGGTCTAAAAGACTTCAACATAAGATGACGTGAAACTGTGAAACTACTAGAAGAAAACATAGGGGAAAATCTTGACATTGGTTTGGGCAATAATTTCTGTCTAAAAAGCACGGGTAACAAAGGCAAAAATAGACAAATGGAATTGCATCAAGCTAAAAGGCTTCTGCTCAGCAAAGAAAATCAATACAAAGATAACTTATGGAATGGGAGAAAATATTTGCAAACTATACATCTGATAAGGGATTAATATCCAAAATTTATAAGGAATTCAGACAACTCAACAGCAAGAAAACAACCAGATTTTAAAATGAGCAAAGTTCCTGAATAGACATTTCTCCAAAGAAGTCATACAAATGGCCAAAAGGTATATGAAAAAAATGCTCAACATCACTAATCATCAGAGACATACAAATGAAAACTACAATGAGATATCAAATGACACCTGTTAGAATGGCTACTATCCAAAAGGCAAGTGTTAGTGAGGATGTGTAGAAAAGGCAATCATTGTATACTATTGGTGAAAGTGTAAATTGGTACAGCCATTATGAAAAACAATATGAAGGTTTCTCAAAAAATTAAAAATAGAACTCTCATTTGATTTAGCAACCCCATTTCTGGGTATATATTTAAAGACACTGAAGTCAATATATTGAAGACATATCTGCATGCCCATATTCATTGCAGCATTATTTGCAATAGACAAATATGGAATCAATGTAAGTGTCCATCAGTGGATGAATGGATAAAGAAAATGTATATATGCATACAAAAGAATATTTTTCAGTCTTAAAAAATAAGGAAATCCTATAATTTTTTAAAATATGCATGGATCTGGAGAGAATTATGCTCAGTGAATTAAGCCAGGCACAGAAAAACAAACACCGCATGATCTCCATTATATGTGGAATCTTAAAACATTGAACTCATAGAAGCTGAGAGTAGAATGTTGATTGCCAGGGGCTGGGATTGGGAGAAATTGGGAGGTGTTGGTCAAGGAGAATAAAGTTTCAATTAGGACAAATAAATTCTGGAGCCATAATTAATAATATTTTATTGTATATTTGAAATTTGCTAAGAGAATAGATCTTAAATGTTCTCACCACACAACACATACAAGAATTAATTATGTGAAGTGATGGATATATTAATTTGCTTGATTGTAATCATTTCCCAGTGTATACATATACTAAAACATCACATAATATACTATAAGTATTTATAATTTTTGTCGATTATACCTCAAATTATACCTCAAAGCTGGCAAATAAATATGGATAAAAAGTAATAAAATGGATTCAACAGCAACTTATAGCAGAAATAAAGCAGTTACAGAAACAACTTTATAGTTATCTCAGTTACTATTTTTCCTAACAGCATTACATCTAGATAATGGTTAATATTTATTCATTTAGCTCTTAAATATATTTGAGATTTTAAAAAATGTTTTTGGTTACGTAAATTATATCTCAATAGAGCTGTATAAGTTTTTCAAATAAAATTCCGATTTTATTACTGAAATCTCAGAATCCTAATGCAAAGATTCCAAATACAGATTTTAAGTAAACAACTAGAAAATACCCACAAATTTTATACACACATATAAGGTTTTTTGGGGGGTTTTTTGTGTTTTTTTTTTGAGACAGAGTCTCACTTTGTTGCCCAGGCTAGAGTGAGTGCCCTGGCGTCGGCCTAGCTCACAGCAACCTCAAACTCCTGGGCTCAAGCAATCCTGCTGCCTCAGCCTCCCAAGTAGCTGGGACTACAGGCATGCACCACCATGCCCAGCTAATTTTTTCTATATATATTAGTTGGCCAATTAATTTCTTTCTATTTATAGTAGGGACGGGGTCTTGCTCTTGCTCAGGCTGGTTTCGAACTCCTGACCTCGAGCAATCTGCCCACCTAGGCCTCCCAGAGTGCTAGGATTACAGGCATGAGCCATCG